ATATATATATGATTTGTAAGCTCTTTATCATAGTCTACATTCTGTTTCTAGAAACAAACTTGACTTCCTAGGGAGGGAAAAGTGAGAACAGAGATCCTGTGAAGCACAATTGTGGCTCCATTTACACAACAAAAAATCAGTTTACATTCATTGTCCAGGGAAATGTGTAGGGACTGCAGGTTGGATAGAGCCAAAAATAGCTATTCTACATCAAGAGTTAGTGCAGAAAAACTGTTAAGGTGTTGCCTTGGCAGTTGAATTACTTAAAGGTAAAAGAACTCAGTTTGATCAAAGAGTAGTTCTTGTAGCAGTCTAACTTGGATAATTGTACTCCTGATTTCTGCTGCTGTCATGAAAGGAGCAGTTAAATACTTAGATATTTTTCTTCTCTTTTTTAATTTCTTACAATTTTTTTAAACCAAGTTTGCATATTTATATCTGGTAATCTAAACAAGTAATTTGAAGACATTATGCAATATAGCAACCATTGTTGAATTCCTATTATTTTTTCAGTGACATTTTGCATTGTTTCTAATATGTGGGTTGGTTTTTTTATTTTTTATTTTTTGGTTTATTTTTTACTATTTTTCATTCCTTTTATGAATAAGAGGGAATAAAATAAAAAACTAATTCTTTGGTTCTCATCCTCTGTGTGGCTTCTTAGATTGCAATTCAGTATAAAAGGAAAAATGGTTGACAAATCCAGCTCAATCAAAATATCGAGAAAGGTGCAATCCAGTTCAATCCCAAAAGGCAAAAGATGTCAGCACAGCATGCTTAGCTCCCATGTGCCCTTGAATACCTGTACATGCCTTTGAGCTACTTACATCCTAAACTGATTCCTGTGGATCCCCTGAGCTCTTAGATCATTTGGAAGAATCATTAGAATTTACAGGAATCTGACATCTGTCAATCTGAATGCAAAGCCTTGAGTTTCAAACTGAAGTCACCTCCTTCTAGAGAAGGAAAAAGGACAATAGCTGCTATTTCATAGCATGCATAATCAATGCTGCAAGTGTTGCTAGGCAACAGCAGAAAGGCTGTCAAACACGCCTGGGTGCTGCCAATGGAAGAGAAGCAACCTTGGCAGTCACGCCACATAGGTGAGAGGCTGCACTGTCCTGGAAGCCATCTTTAGTGGGCTTCGCTCCTCACAGTATCCCTTCACTGTCATCATGGATAAAGCATAGACATTTTCCTCACAGGCTCATCTAGCCTTTGAATTCACTTTCAGTTGCCCAGAGCCTCTAAAATGAGCATGTCGGGCAGGAAAGAAGAAGCTCTGTGAGATGTACATGTGATATTCTGATCCAGTTCACCTTGAAACTCCAACTTGTTTCTTTTATGAAGGCTGTAGCCTCAGAACTCCAGACAGTTGAAGCGGACACCCTCTCTGAGGCTGGAAAGTATTCTAACCAAGGAAGAAAAATCACTGGTTTCACCATCCATTAACATTCAAGGTCATGGAAATGGGATCTCTATGGTTCATAACCATGATGCTGGGGTGGATTTCTAACCTGCAGATTCTCTGAGCTCGCTATTTGGGATAAGGGCTTCCTCTGAGTTTGAACAAGGAGGGGGCTAGCAAATGAAGAAGCCAGGATTTGATAAAAGATTGAATCAATTTTTTTCTTTTTCTTCTCTTTTTTATTTTTACTTTTTAATATTTTTTAGTGTGTTTTCAGCAGATAATAATTAGTTCCTCTTAGGGACTTGGTATCTGCACTTGCCACATATAGTTTATTTCTACTCACCACAATCTCCTCTCTTCCTTTTCATCTCTACAGACTCTACCTCCATTTCCACTCATTCCTTTTATTTTTTTCTTTAAATTACTTACAGTTTGGGTTTCTTATTAGAGGAAACATGTAATATATAGCCTTCTCTGTCTGATTTATTTCACTAAACAATA